GGGGGGGGGGGCAAACGTGCGGATCTGTCCTCGCAGAGCAGGGAGAGCTTGTACCTGAATAAAACCTGGACTTAAAGGTGCCACTGGACTATTTTAGACCGGGGGGCCGGGGAGGGGGTTCTGCAGCTTACCTGGCTGCTTCTTGCTCTGACTGAGGGCTGCTGGGAGCAGGGGGTGGGGCTTGTTGCATGTGCCCCGCCCCCTGGGCTCTTTACTGCCGGAGCTCTGCTCCTGCGCGCTCCTGCAGGAAATGACCCCTGTATATATATACACACACACACACACACACACACACACATACACACACACACACACACACACAGTACTCAAAAGAGCTCTCTCAGCCCCACCTACCTCCCCGGGTGTCTGTTGTGGGGAGGGGAAGGGAAAGGAGGTTGTAAGCTGCTCTGAGACTCCAAGTGAAGGGCAGGTTATAAATCCAATCTCTTCTTCTCCTCCTCCTCCTCCTCCTCTACTGTTCAACAGCAGCCTCCCTGCATAAACCAGTATGGTGTAGTGGTTAGAATTTCAGACTAGGATTTGGAGACCCAGGTTCAAATCTTCACGCTGCATTGGAAGTTCACTCGGTGACCTTGGCCCAGTCATACATTCTCAGCCTAACTTACCTCAGGTGTAGTGAGAATAAAATAGAGAGAAGAATCATGCAAGCTGATTTGGGTCCCCATTATGGAGAAAGGCAGGCTATAGATGAAGCAAATAAATAATAAATATAGCGGGAGATGGAGGCAGATAAAATGTTGGTTGGTGGGTGAGAAGGAAGCAGGGAAATGTGAGGATACAGGGTTGGCAGGAGGAAAGAAAGGGGAAATGGTGGGGGAAGCAGTATTGGTGGAAATGAGGTGGGGGAAGCAGTATTGGTGGAAATGAGGGAGCCAGTTTGGTGTCGTGGTTAAGTGCGCGGACTCTAATCTGGGAGATCTGGGTTTGATTCCCCACTCCTCCACTTGCACCTGGCTGGATGACCTTGGGCAAGCCGTAGTTCTGATAAGAGCTGTTCTTGAAAAAGAGCAGTTTCTGTCAAGAGCTCTCTCAGCCCCACGTACCTCGCAGGGTGTCTGTGGTGGGGAGGGGAAGGGAAAGGAGTTTGTAAGCCGCTCTGAGACATCTTTGGGTAGTGAAGGGCGGGGTATAAATCCAATCTCCTCTCCTCTCCTCTTCCTCCTATGCAAGTGGCTTCTGCTTTCTGCAACTGGGCCCAGCCTAGTGGCTGAAACTCTGCAACCGGGCCCAGACCAGTGGCTGGCACTGCGCAAGTGTTTATACAGGTATAGGTCAGAAGGGAGAGCTGAAGACACGGGAAAGATAAAGGTAGGTTAGCTGCTGAATGGGTAGGAAAGAAGGAAGCTGGGAGAGCCAAGATGGCTATGAGGGATTTTAGGGAAAGGAAAGAGAAAATAATGGAAGAAGGAAAAATGAGACGCCCACCTCAAGTGCTTGTGGGCCCTCCAATTGTTTATTTATAAATGCCACTCGGTCCTGTACTCGGAGCAGTTTATGAATTAAGTACAATGCATAACAGAACCATTAAAAAAAAACCCAAATCCACAGTAATCCATCAAACAGCTCTCAACTATAAAACCTCCTCCCCTGAATGCCAGTCCAAAGGGGTGGGATCACCATGGGAAAAGCTCTAAATTTTACCCCTCCTATGCTCTCTTGTATAGAGAAAACCTGATCCTTCCCCAGGCACACGCCTGACTGAAGTAGTAGCCCATACAAATCTGTAGGACACCCGAGAGGCCCCTTTGATGACACAGAAGTTGTGGAATGTAATGTGATAGAGTAGCACTGTCCAGCAGTGTTCCCTCTAAGCTGAGTTAGTGTGAGCTAGCTCAGTTTTTTTAAGCCTCCGGCTCACATTTTTATCCTTGCTCAGGAAGGGTGGCTCACAACTTTAATGCCAGCAAGCTCACAAAGTAGAATCTTTGCTCACAAGGCTCCACAGCTTAGAGGGAACATTGCTGTCCAGGCTTTCTACCTGAGAGGGAGGGCTGTGTAAAGTTGGGATGTGGCCAGGTGAGCCCTTCAACCGTGTAAGACAGAAACTCCGTCAAAGGTTGTGCTTTCCCAGCCCAATTTGAGAAAGCACACGGCAGTCTTGTAGAGGAGAATCAGATCTTATACTTTATTGATCAACAAAGGAGGGAGGTGCAGATCCAATAAGGTTTTGGACCCCACAGCTCTCCCTAAGGTTACAATGGGAGACATAGGGTTTTATACCCCCTATGACAGTTAGAAATAAATCATAATTATTGGTTCCATCAAACTTTGTCATATATCC